GCAGCAGATGGATTTGAGGCAAATTCAAGCGGACCTATTACTGATTCGGCTTCAACCACAGCTGAACCACTCGGCCGGGGTATGCGGTCCAAACGGCCGTCTGTCTTATTACGGGATTTCGTCACAAATCATGTTCGGAAATTAAGCCCATCTCTGTCACTACCCTCGGTCAGTTCCTCAGGTACGCGGTATCCTCTTGCTCATTTTGTGTCTTTTGATAAGTATTCAGACCGTCATCGTGTGTTTCTCGGAGCTGTTCTTGCAGGTCATGAGCCTCGTTCCTTCAAAGAAGCTATGACCGATCCTGGTTGGCGCTCCGCTATGCAGACTGAAATCCAAGCTCTTGAGAACAATCATACTTGGGATATGGAGCCACTCCCTCCTGACAAAAAGGCCCTCGGTTGTAAGTGGGTTTATAAAATAAAATATAAATCGGACGGCTCTGTTGAGCGTCTTAAGGCCAGGCTGGTCGTTTTTGGCAATCACTAAGAGGCAGGAATTGATTATACCGAGACTTTTGCTCTTGTAGCAAAGATGGTGACCGTATGTCTTCTCTTAGCTGTTGTTGCATCTAAGAATTGGGAGTTGCATCAAATGGATGTGCATAATGCCTTTCTTCACGGGGATCTTGCTGAAGAAGTGTACATGCGGCCGCCACCCGGGTTCTCTCCTTCTCCGCCAGGCCTGGTTTGTCGGCTAAAGAAGTCCTTGTATGGCTTACGTCAGGCACCTCGCTGTTGGTTTGCTAAGCTGGCTGCTTCTCTCCAACAATATGGTTTCCTTCAGTCCTATTCTGATTATTCCCTGTTTAGTCTGCGCCAGGGTGATATTCAGCTACATGTGCTCATTTATGTGGATGATTTGATTATTGCGGGGAACAACTGAAGCCTTGTCTCAATTTAAATCCTACATGCATACTTGCTTTCACATGAAAGACCTTGGTACACTCAAGTATTTTCTTGGAATCGAGGTGGCCCGAAGTCTAGACGGTCTATTTCTCTGTCAACGCAAGTATACACTGGATATTATTTCTGAGGCAGGTTTACTCGGGGCTAAACCATCTTCTTTTCCCATGGAACAAAATCATTCCTTGGCTCTTGCTACGGGTGACTTGCTGCATAATCCGGAATCTTATAGGCATCTTATTGGTAGCCTTATTTATCTGTCCTTCACATGTCCGGATCTGGCATATGCAGTTCACGTTCTTTCTCAGTTTATGCAGGCTCCACGGCAAGAACACTGGAGTGCGGCCCTCCGAGTCGTCCGCTATTTAAAGGGTTCACCAGGACAAGGCATTCTTTTACGTACTTCTTGTGATTTGACACTTACTGGGTGGTGTGATTCTGATTGGGCCAGCTGTCCTCTCCCTCGCCGATCCCTCACTGGATGGCTGGTATTTCTTGGTGGTTCCCCTGTGTCATGGAAGACCAAGAAACAGCATACTGTTTCACGCTCCTCTACTGAAGCTGAGTATCGTTCCATGGCTGCAGTCACTGCAGAATTAAAATGGTTAAAGGGGCTTCTTCTGAATCTTGGCGTTGTTCATTCTCGGCCCATGTCTTTGTTTTGTGATAGTCGCTCTGCTCTTCATATAGCTCATAATCATGTTTTTCATGAACGCACCAAGCACGTAGAAGTTGACTGCCATTATGTTCGCGACGCTCTTCAAGACGGTATCATTATGGCTCAGCATGTACCTACTACCGAACAGATTTCTGACATCTATACAAAGGCTTTGGGCAAACGGCAGTTTTCCTATCTTCTACGCAAGTTGGGCATTTTTTACCCTCATGCTCCAACTTGAGGGGGGTGTGTTACATAGCTATTGGGCCTCGGTTGTATTATCTATTTGTATTATTTGTATTTAGCTTGTTGTATAGGTGTGTGGGCCAAGGGCTCAATTATTTTATTCAATCCCTAGCATACGTGTATATATATTCGGCCATGTACATCTCAATAGAGGGACTTCCTTTTTGAGTTGAATATATTATTATTACTTGAGATATTATCCAAAATGGGACTAAAAAAGTTTGGAAATTCCAAAATAGGACTTCCATGTTTTTAATCCCAAAATAGGACTAATTACTGTCATGTTTTGGCAGTACCAGACTTCAAACATGACAGTATTTTCCAACTTTGACAGTAATTAGTCCTATTATGGGAATAAAAACATGACAGTCCTATTTTGGAATTTTCGAACTTTTTTAGTCCCATTTCGGGAACTTTCCCTTATTACTTTCTAAACTTAAGATTCTCAGAAAATTAAATTAAAAATATGAGAAGGTGCGGCTGTCGACGGAGACCTCCTTTGCATATTCTGTTTTTTATTCCAATCCATAAAACCGCCGGAAAACATGCCGGAGTAGTCCGAAAAAAGAGTAGCACCGGCGAGCTACAAACCAGCCCCCAAAAGTCGTTTCAGCAGCTCAAGATTGATATGGAGCTTCGTACCTTCCCATCGAACTGGAAGCTAGTCTCCAAAGTAAAACAAACCACCACCCACATTTGAGTTATGAACAAACATTAATCTCCGAATGAACAGTGTTTTTTGCCCCTTGCCGGTCGTTGACAGAGAAAGGAAGATTCCCCGAGAAATAGAATAAAAGGAAGAAAGAAAGAAGGTGGCAACAAGATTCCATGGACAGTTTGCGGAATTGCAGGTCTGGCCGGAGGAAGAAGAAAATGGGGGAAAGAAGGAAAGAAAAGGGGGAAAAAGAAAAGAAAAAGGGAAAAATGAAAGAAAAAGGAAAAATAAAATAAATAAGTGATGTGGGCTGCCACATTTGTGCCCCGTCATGCCAAGTGTGCGCCATGTCAGCAGGTAACCTGCTGACCGGCGGGTTACCTGCTAATAATCGGATTTGACAAAATTTTCGAAGTAGCAGGGCATAATTGAAGAAACTTTAAGTACGATGGCTTAATTGACTTTCCGTACGAAGTAGGAGGGCCAATTTGACACTTTTCTCTTCTTTAAAAGTACCAGCGAGATTAACAACTTCAACAAAAATAGGTTTGCAGTAAGTGTATAACATGAGAAAAGTGAGTCCGTTGCCACCCCCCCCCCCCAACTGTCATATAGTCGTTGCCAACGGCTCTTTGTCACCCCAACCCCACCCTCCATTTAAAAAATGACTGTTGGGACCGGAACGGGGCCCAGCCGGTCCAGTCCTAAAATATGCGTCCCGAGCCCATCTCGCCGGAGAGCCTGTCCAGTTACCGGGGAGGTACCGGTACCAGGAGACCGGTCCCGAGCCGATCTCAAATAGTACCAGTCCCGCGCCAGTCCGACACGGTCTTCCTGGACGCAATCCAAGACTACTACCATCCACCTTCAAAACAAAGCCTAATAAATTCACTACACCTATCGTTTTCTTCTCTAAAACACAATTATTTCATACAAATTATTTCATTTGGCCTCATTCATTTTAGAGGGTGCGCTTAGATCTACTTTTGAAAACTGTTTTTGCTTCTTTAGAGAGAAGCAGATAATAGAGTGTTTGAGTGGAAATGCAGAAGTACTTCTGGTTGCTCCAAATTGCTCTTAGGAGCAGTTTTTCAGAACCCGGGGAAGACTGGCTTCTGAAAAATTGATTTTGATTCTGATTCCGCTGTTAAAAAAGAAGCAGAAACAGAATCAATTCCAAACACCCCAGAATTGAACAACACTATACCTTTAAAATATGGGATGACGTGAGACCTAAATCATAAAAATCATTATAATAAATGTCTATTAATAAACCATGTGTCCTTTAATGTTATTTCATATTATCCGAGCATTTTTCTAGCTCTTTCTAGCAAACGGGTCTACTTCATTTAGATAGCAATTCAAATTCAACACTTCAAAGTTCAGTTCCAGACAATTTTCTTTCATCAGACTATAGCTCCTATTTCAGACATTAACCTTAGTAAAATTTATGTGGTTCTAAATTATTGTTATTTTATTTTATGAATTCATTGTAAATAACACAATTCACTTTTTTGATAATCACACATTCACACTATTATTAAGGATATTTTTGGCAGAAAAGTTTACACTGATTGGGCCATGGTTGATCAAACCACGAGTTAAAAAGATGATTGTCACACACGAGTTTTAGACTGGTCGATGAACTTTTTGACTAATTGATCAATGCACGAGTTTTACTAGCGTAGCATTATTTGTAGAACCAGGATTCTGCACGCAAGTCATGTTGACTTGTTGATATGTAAGAAACTCGTGCACAAAAACAAAACATCTTTTGCTATTGTTTGTGCAACCACAATTTGAGTGCAGTTGCATATACATTTTCTATGTGAAAATATCTTTGTCAACTATTGATTCGATGAGCTCAGAGCCGTGCGGTGCTTGAGGCAGATGAGGCACTTGCCTCAGGGTCCAAAAAATTGTTAAAATTTTAGGGCCCACAATTTTAGATATTTCTTTAGTATATATATGTATTAAATTTACATATTGGACTTCCTTTCCCTAACCTTTGTCCGCTGTTGTACTTCAAAAAGGAAACCCAAAAAGTCTACCAATTACTTTTGTTCGGCCAATTTAGAAGCAGAATAGCCATCAACGTACAAATGGAAAAGGGGTTTAAGGCGATTTGCGATTCTTTTGTTCTGGCCTAGAATAATCGATCAACAACAGGGCCTTAGCTAAGGTTAATTTGTGATTCCCTTGATCCAATCTATAGACTTAATCGATCAACATCAAGGTTAATCTTTCATCTTCTTTGCTTAGCTTCTAAATATCTAATATTTTCTATTTAAAGCTATAAAAGGATTTATAGCCTACCAAATATCTGTTGAGAAGGAATTTATTGAACATCTAGAATGCCGAGTTAATTATGATGTTTTCTTTTGGACTGTTTTCAGTCCCAGATCTAATCAGACCAGACCAGACTTCCGTAGTTATAAAATATACATAGATCATACGTTCATTAGACCAGTTTTTTGAATACTTTGACATTAATGTAATTTTTATTTAATTAGTCATTTTTATGATAACTCCGCCATGAGATCAATTTTTTTGGTTTCATGCCTGTCCCAAGCCAGGATAAAGGAGGAGGGTGCTGTGGTAGGCGCGTGACGGCCAACAGTATTACCTAGTCACATCACATGACATGAATCGAAATATGAATATCGCTACAGCTAGGTCGTCGCCCGTAAGCGACGCGTCATCCCTCCGCCTGGGGGTGGTGTCAAATATGCAAGGGTGCGCTACACTTCATAGGCCTGGGTGTGGTGATAAGAATGCTAAGGTTGCTAGGTCGTCGCCCGGAAGCGGCGCGTCATCCCATTGCCCGAGGATGATGTCAAATATGCACGGGCATGGTGGGATCCGAGGCGGGGCTAAGAACATAAGGTGGAGTGCTAGATTGCGCTTTGGGACGTGGAATGTTGGGTCTCTTACAGGCAGATCTTCCGAGGTAGTCGAAGTTATGAGGAGGAGGAATATCAGCATTATGTGTGTGCAAGAAACTAAATGGGTTGGAGAGAAAGCACGTGAGATTAATCCTGGAGGTTTTAAGTTGTGGTATTCGGGGAGAGATAAGACCAGGAATGGGGTAGGCATTATTGTGGCGCGTGACTATGTTGAAGATGTGGTAGAAGTCTTCAGGAAGAACGATCGTATCATGAGCATTAAATTGGTGATGAGGGGTGAGATTGTGTCTGTGATAAGTGCCTATGCACCACAAGTGGGATTGGATGCATCTACGACTCAACAGTTTTGGGAAGATCTTGAAGAAGTGGTGCGGCGAGTGCCAAGGGGAGAGAAGTTGGTCATAGGAGGCGACCTCAACGTGCATGTGGGCTCGAGCCGTGATGGCTTTGAGAGTATTCATGGCGGACATGGTTTTGGCACTAGAAATGAAGCAGGAAAGAACATTTTGGATTTTGCCTCGACGTATGAGTTGGCTATAATGAACACTTGGTTTAGGAAAAGAGACTCTCACCTTGTAACCTATAGAAGTGGAGCTAATAGTACCCAAATCGACTACTTCTTAGTACGGACTACTCGGAGAACTAGCTACACCGATTGTAAGGTTATCCCAGGTGAGAGTGTTGTCACTCAGCATAGGATGCTTGTGCTTGACTTTCGAGGTAAGAACCATAGAAGACAAATTAAGCAACAAGTGGAGCCAAAGATAAAGTGGTGGAGGCTTGAGGGAGATCTTCAACAAAGCTTTGCACACAAAATGTTCGGTGAAGATGTATGGCGTATTGATAATGGAACACATGTGGAGGATGCGTGGTTATCGATGGAGCTGACCATCAACAAAGTGGCAAAGGAGGTACTTGGAGAATCTAAAGGATGTCTGCCACCCAAAAAGGACACGTCGTGGTGGAATGATGACGTGAAACAAGCCATAAGGAACAAAAGATATTGCTACAAAAAGCTGGGGACAAGTCGGAGTGATGAGAACATAGAAGCATACAAGGAGGCTAGAAGACAAGCAAAGAAAGCCGTAAAGGAATCACAAGGGAAAGTGAATAAGGAGTTGTATGAAAAATTGGACTCTAAGGAAGGAGAACAAGATATCTATAAACTTGCTCGTCTTCGTGATCGTAGGACTCAAGATATCGGAAAAGTTAAGTGTGTGAAGGATGTCGATCAAAGGATATTAATGGAGGACATAGAGATAAAAGAGAGGTGGAGGTCATACTTTGACACATTGTTCAACGGGAACAAAGTGCAAGATATTGGTGATTTGACCATACCAGATTGTATGGTAAATCGTGATTTTGTGAGAAGGATCCAACCAACGGAAGTTAAAGAGGCTCTGAGAAAGATGGGGCGGAAGAAAGCAGTGGGTCCAGATGGCATACCGATCGAGGCTTGGAGAAGTTTGGAGAAGTTTGGGAGAGAGAGGCATCGAGTGGTTCACAAATTTCTTCAACAAGATTTGGAGAAACAACAAGATGCCAACGAGTTGGAGAAAGAGTACTCTTATTCCCTTATTTAAGAATAAAGGTGATGTACAAGAATGTGCCAACTATCGAGGGATTAAGCTTATGAGTCATACCATGAAACTTTGGGAGCGAGTGATTGAGCAAAGACTTCGAAGAACGGTGAAGATTTCAGAGAATCAATTCGGTTTTATGCCTGGTCGCTCAACAACTGAGGCTATTCACCTTCTTCGGCAACTTATGGAGAAGTATAGAGACGCTCACAAGGATTTGCATTTAGTGTTCATTGACTTAGAAAAGGCATATGATAGGGTACCTCGAGAAGTTCTTTGGTGGGCCTTAACTAGAAAAGGCATTTCATGGAAGTATATCAGCATCATCATGGATATGTATGAGGATTGTACTACAAGTGTCCGTACTAGTGTAGGGAGGACTGCGGAGTTCCCTATTACTATCGGAGTGCACCAAGGATCGGCTCTGAGCCCTTTTTTATTTGCCATAGTCATGGATGAACTTACAAAGTCAATTCAAGATGATATACCGTGGTGCATGATGTTTGCCGATGATATTGTTTTGATTGATGAGACACAATCAGGGGTTAAAGCAAAGTTGGAAGTATGGCGACAAACATTAGAGAACAAGGGTTTCAGACTAAGTAGGAGCAAGACAGAGTACATGGAGTGCAAGTTTGGTGGAGGTAGAAGCAGTGGTAATAGCGGAATTACTTTAGATGGTAAGGAGATACCGGTCAGCGATATGTTCCGTTACTTGGGCTCTATAATTCAGAAGGACGGTGAGTTAGATGGAGATGTATCCCATAGAATCAGAACAGGGTGGATGAAGTGGAAGAGTGCGTCAGGATTTCTATGTGATCGAGGTATGCCGACTAGACTGAAGGGTAAATTTTATAGGACAGCAATTAGACCTGCACTACTGTATGGCACGGAGTGTTGGGCGGTGAAACAATGTCACATTCAAAAGATGAGTGTGGCAGAGATGCGCATGCTGCGTTGGATGTGCGGGCATACTAGAAAGGATCGTGTGAGGAATGAGACAATAAGACAAAGGGTGGGAGTAGCACCTATTGAAGATAAGATGCGGGAGTCGCGCCTACGATGGTTTGGTCATGTGCATAGGAGACCGATTGATGCACCTGTCAGACGAGTGGAGATGTGTGGAGAAGAGGCAGGGAAGAGAGGGAGAGGAAGGCCCAAACAGACGTGGGCTAGGGGAGTCAGAAGTGATATGCTTCTTCTTGGATTGGATGAGAGTATGGATTTGGAAAGAGCGAAATGGAGGGCGGGTATTCGTGTGGAGGAGTGATATTGTATCATCTTTTCCCCTCTTTTCTTCTTCTTCTTCTCTTTCTTTTTTTATATTTTTATCCTTATATATAAACATTACTTTATCCTTTTTATTTTATCTTTTATATGTATATTCATCTATTTTATATTATCTTTTTTATAATAGCTTATCTTTTTTATCTTTATTTCCTTTCTTTTCTTTTGGATGATATCATGTATCATATCGATTCATGTTAGCCGACCCCAACATCGTTTGGGACTAAGGCTTGGATGTTGTTGTTGTTGTAGTCATTTTTATGATGTTTAATCTTCAATTTCAAAGAAAATTATGGTAAAAATAAATAAATCATGTATAGGGCCTTTTAGGAAGTTTGACTCAGGCCCGAGTTTTGGTAGGATCGGCACTGGATGAGCTGCCCATATATTATTCACCTCCATCCTATTATTCAATTTATTCACCTCTTTTTTCACCTACCAATTTAAAGCATAAAGGTATGCTTGTGAATGTGAGTGAAAGAATCACATTACAAATTGGGACATTAAGAATTTATAATAATATTTCAAAGTGAGTTCCAGTTATTTATATTAACCTTCAAATGCTTGCAAATGGATTATTAAGACAAAATTGGGAGGTTTTCTCAATCGTGAATTGATAAACTTCTTGCTCCCGTAACTTAGTCATCAGAACACTTGGTCAATGTGAGTGAGGATTCTAACTTGCTACTTGCTAGAAAACTTATAGTGTTGACCACTTAGGGTGACTTCTTAAGCAACTCACGATTTGAACTTTAGTTATTTAAGATTGGATTTTCACATATCAGAATGGCTAAATATCATCAAATTTGACTTTCACGGCGAAATAATAAAGTAACTATTGTGTATGTGAATTTGATATATATATATATATATATATATATATATATATATATATATACGGAAAAGATCAGGTCCAGCCCTCCCCGGTCCAGCCTCCGTCCGAACTCCGCCGTTTTGGGCGGTTCCCGGTGGAATTTTTTGATGAAATTTTTTGAGCATGTTCTTCATCAAGTCTAGTTTGTCCATACCAAATTTCAGCTCAAAATTCGATCGGGAAGGTCGTCAAATGATTTTTGCAAGTTAACTGGTCCGGAATATGTATTTTCCGGACCAGTTAACTTGCAAAAATCATTTGACAACCTTCCCGATCGAATTTTGAGCTGAAATTTGGTATGGACAAACTAGACTTGATGAAGAACATGCTCAAAAAATTTCATCAAAAAATTCCACCGGGAACTGCCCCAAACAGCGGAGTTCGGACGGTGCTTCCCGTCCCTCCGGCTGGACCTGATCACTTCTCTATATATATATATATATATATATATATATATATATATAAAAAGAGAACCAACTATAATTACATACAAGTATTTATTACTTTAAATGAAATTAGCAAAGTCTTTTAGAATGTTGGTATTGTTTTATAATGTAAGAAAGTTGATATTGTTTTATAATGTAAGAAAGTATGAAAGTGTAACTTTTTTTTACTCCGGGGGGTCTGGGGGAGGGGGTCCCTGGAGTAATCAGGACTGAAACTCACTCCATTGAGTTTTGAACCCCTATGTGCCTAGCGGGTTTCGAACTCGAGACCTCCCACTAGGCACAGAATGCTTGGTTATATGACAATGTAACTTAACCAGCCTTCTAAGAACCACTCTTGGTGTACAAGTTTTGGGTGTACACACAAATAATTTTGCATTTTAAAAACAAATTGCATGTGTATAAAGGGGTGTTTGGATAAGATTCTTAAAACTGCTTATTCTCTTTCAGGGAGTAGAAGCAGAAGTTAGAATGTTTGGGTGAAAATGTAGAAGTGATTCGGGTGCTCTAATTTACTCCTAGAATCAGTTTTTTAGAAGCTGGGAGAGACCAACTTCTGAAACTTACTCTGCTTTAAAAAAGAATCAGTAACAGAATCAGTTCCAAACATCCCAAAAAACATGTATGAATTTTCTGCCTTCTATAGGGTAAACCCACTCACTCAACTCCTGAAGTGGAGAAGTAGGGACGCTTTGATCAAAACTAGCTAAGCATGAGAGTAAAGTTAAAAACCTGAGTTGGGCTACATTCCAACTCACTGAGTGAGCTTATGACCAAAAAAATCATGCCTTGGCACTTTATGACCAGATTAATTAAAGTGCAGTTTACCTCTTCCATTTAAATTACTCCATGGTGATCACTTTCCAGGGGCCCTCCGGGAGGGCTTCCAAGATGACGTACATCTTTTGTTTGATTTTATGCAAAAAAAAGAAATGGCGTTAAAAACTCAGGAAGTACCTGGCCTTGAGATTCTCAAAACTCACTTTTTCCGTTCTGTAACGTCTATTTAATAATATTATAATAATCTGTGCTACTCAAACATTATTATATTCACCTGCCTCTCCCTCTAGAACTCTCCTACCCCTCTCTCTTCCTCTTATGTTACACACCTGGACTTTTTCTCTGGTCTTTTCTATCACAAACTTTGCTCAAAACCCAAGTTCAAAAATCTTTCTTTCTCCCATTTTTTGAAGTTACCTGAAGCTATAGCAGAAGATAGTGTAGAAATGGCTGCTTCTGCACTCTCTTCAATGGTTCTCTTGGCCTTGGTTGTTCATTCAAGTATGTGTTCATATATGATCTTCAATGGTTAGATCATATATGTATGTGTTTGTTAAAATTTTCCACTGAAACATTCGAAAGTCGTAGTCTTTTTTTTAAGTCTTGTAGAATGTCGTTGTCCTTTAAAGTTTTAATTTTTTTGGCTTGAAATGACGTTTATTTTATTTTATGATCCCAAGATCCGTTAAATGTCACTTTTTAGACATAAAGAACCGCAAATCCATGCTTAGATTATAGCCAATAAATGTCATTTTTTTTTGGAAATTGTTGTTTTTAAAATAGGTGGAAACTACTGTGTGTGCAAAGATGGGGTTAGTGATACTGAGCTTCAGAAGAACATAGATTATGCTTGTGGGAGTGGAGCAGATTGTGACCCAATCCATCAAAATGGTGCTTGTTACAATCCCAATACTGTGAAAGACCATTGCAATTATGCTGTGAACAGCTATTACCAGAGGATGAGTCCAGCTGGAGCTGATTGTAGCTTTTCTGGTACTGCATTCCTTATTGGAAATCTACCTGGTAATAATCAAGTCCTTAAAGATGATGAAGAAGAAGATTCATAAATAATTATCAGTTTATTTCTTGATTATTGATGTTGTTTTTGTTATATGTTTCTTCTTTGTTGCTGCAGCTTCAGTTGGATCATGTGTTTATCCATCTAGTCCTGGGTGTGTATCTCATCTTTTTTGTCTTTTTTCTTTCAACTTATGCAGAATTTTACAGCTTCATCTTCTTCTTGTAGCTTCAAGTGTCCTATACCACAAATTCCCCCTGAATTTTTTCAAGGGCCCGTTTGGAACTTGGAAAGTGCCGGGGAAAGAAAATGTGGTGGGGGATGGGATATTTTGGATAATTGGATGGAATGAAAAGTGGGGGAGATTATGTCATTTTTTAAAATCATTAATCACAATAAAACCAACTATATGAAAATACTTATTAGAATTTTTTCCTTTATTACCCTAAGTATTTACTTTTTAGCGAAAGTATAAAGGTAGCCATTGCACGGTTTGATTCTGAAACTTCTCCCTACTCAAATTTGCAAGGGTTGATATATTGGAGTTGAATATTACAATTTCCTACGGAAGTTTAAAATAATGCTTTGAAGAAAATTGAATCATAAAAAGTTAAACATCATGTCCAAAGACTTCGGTTTTAGTGTAGGTAGAATGCTACACCAAAAGTATTTGATGTAGGTGGAATGCTAGCGGGGTGGAAATAGGAGGAGGCTCGATAAATTATATGATGTATATATGTATGTATAAATATTTATAGACAAAAAAAAATATAGTGAACTTTTAAGCTTCGGCCCTACAACATAAATTCTTTAGGCCGGACCTCCATAACCTACAATTTCTGGCTCTGTCAAATGCTATCGTTTTACTTCTTTCTCGTTTTTAGCTGAAATGATTACATTTTTATAATCACTTAAGCTATGATTGAAATAGAGAAAAATGTAGTGGAAGGAAATAATGCTAGAAAAAAAATAGATTTTTTAATAATTTATTATGCCTGGGATAATATCTTTATTAAGTTTGATTTGATTTTTATTTTCTCCATATTATTTTTACTTTCTTTCCCCGGCACTTTATATGTCCCAACAGGACCCTTAAAAAAGGGCAAGTTGAATTTGTTAAGATGATTCATTGATATTATTGAGCTTGTAGTTTAACAGAATGATACACACAAAAAGACTAAAAAATTTCTCTTTCGTTTCAACCTTAAGAGTAACTTATAAGTCAAAATATAGCAAAAAGAAATAGTGACATATTAAGAGTCCGTTTGGTAAGACTAAAATCGGTTTATCCTACTGAAATTTATGAAGTTTTGCCTGAAGTAACTGTATTGGCGGATTCTGCTGATTTATGAAAAAATTGTATTTAAAATAAATTTTATTAATAAAAACAATTATATGAAAAAATAACTAAAATAATCATCTGCGTAACTTTAGCCAATACAACCAGAAAAGTAACTTCAACCTTACTTTTTCTTATTATTACATTATTCAACGCACCAAATCAAAAGTTACGTGTTTGGTTAAAAAGTTCGGGGGACAAGCCCGATAAGCCGAAAAATTACTACCGTCACATTTATTTGTAGTGCACCAAGTGGAAATGTGACTTGGAATAAATTTGCACCCTCCATAATGGTTGGTGGTCGGTGGATGGTTACTGGTCACTGTTAGCTAGCATTCCATTCAAGAAAATAGGCTAAAAGTGTACGAAACAAAGAATTCCCAGACGATGGTCACTTTTTCTTGAAGTGTAAATATTCCCAATCCACTAGTTTTCTGTTATACTAATTCATCAGAATGCACATGTGAGCTGTGCCTATTTTTAATATCTTTTCTCTTCTGGTTTTATTGTTGCATATGTCGCCTTCAACCTTTGCTAATTTTGGTTAAAATTATTGTGTGTTAAGTTTGTTACATCCAAGAAAGACAAAAAGTTATTGTGTATTTGCATGATTCATATTCTATAATATATGTACAAAAATATAAATTAGGGATGCATGGAAACATCCCTTTTCTTTTCTTTTAAGTCATGAGAATACTATTATTGAATGTTCTGAGTTAGAACTTATTAGGGTTGTTAGTAATCAAGAAGGGATCTAGAAATCTGAATTGATCAAGCTGGGCTGGAGGGTCCTTAGATTAGGCTGAAGGAGATATTGAGGTTGTCTAAATGGAAAAACAGATAAATTTACGTTAAAAGATTTCGATTACCCCGGGCTTCATCCACTAAAACTTACAAAGGTCCTGGACTACTCCAGTTAAGCTCAAACGAGCAATCGATCGATTACGACTGAAAAGAGCATACATCTACCAACATATTCATTCGGTATTGCTACTCTACTGGTGGGGCGTAGTTCAGCTGGTGGGAAGAGGGCGGAGCTTAGCGACGGGTGTCATTTTTTTGTGTTGTTACTCTATTGACCTATATTTTAATGGGGTTTTCCCAATTCTTTTATTTACGTGTCCTACTTTATTAAAGCGCTGTAAGTTTTGGTTGATATTTTTTGTTGCAGCAATGGTACACTTACACCTCCCGGGATCAACTCGCCTATTGGGCCAGCACCGGGGAGTGACCCAAACTTGCCACATGATAGTACTCCAGCAACTCATCATAAACACCCCATCTTTCTCACCTTAACCCTTGTGCTTTCAAGCCTGGTATGCCTGAGATTCTGAGCAAGAAAAGGAGAATGGTGGTGGTGGTATGTAAAGATGGAAAAATATTATATTTGGAAGACTTATAATTAGTGTTAAGTATGATTATATTTTAGTACATATGCTTCTGATCTAATGGATATATATTCTTGAGCTTTTGATAGGGTGGCAGCTTTGGTGGGTAACATTTGATTCTCTTGCATAGTGTATGTGGGTCAGAAGAAGTAGAACTGGATTCCCTTTTTAAGTAGAACTGTAGAAGCTTTGGCTGTTTCTGGGGAAGTAGTAAATAGGGTATCAGTAGAAATCTGGTCTCTTCTTAATGGATTTTTCCCTATGTACATCTTCAGAGAAGAGGCACAATGCAGTAATATATATCTGAAGTATTTGCCTAGTAGTTCATAACTCCATTATGTTGACTTATTTAAATTCATTCCCAACTAAATTAAATCAATGCATAAGCATGGGCCCAAGGATAGACCAACAATTGAATATAAAATGTAAAGAAATTGAAGCTATTAACACACTAATGTAACCCTACCAATGGGATCCTAGGCCCCTAACATGAAGTACTCACTTGGGTGCAGATCTTTATAAGCGATGGCTGCAGATTTTAAAATATTAATATCAAAGTACACATCTTGCCATTTCCAGAAGTCGGTGATGATTTCTCGAGGATAATAAAAACAGATAATCAAAAAAGGTAGACTGGTGCCAAGTATCTTGTGGTCCTATGAAATCAATGTGACACTCTCAAGGAGGTAGTCATAAGTTCGATTCACTATTGACCTTTAACATGGAACAAATATTATAGTATGTTAGAAAGCACAACGATAAAAAGGTAGACTGAGAAAAAAATCGAATTGTCTGTGTTTGAGGATGATAACATGCGCTTTGATGCCACCATGGACCTTTGACACTAACAACTCATCTCTTGAATGTTGGGGATTTGAGTTCATTTATTAAAATGGCAGCATCAAGTCTCACTTGTGTCCAGACTCCAGATTCGGATTCAAAACCAAATTGAAGTAGTTAATCGAGTCTCTAACTCTCTATGACTATAAAGACTATCAGGTTCTTATCCTTGATGCCATTAAAGGGGACTCAAGTCTTTTATTCAACCCAGTCTATTGTACACAGTCGCATCCTTCAATGTTCAAATTGGAATGAGTGAAGTCAGATGGGTAGGTTACATGAAACTTCACCTAAATTCCTTTGTTGTTTATTGCTTGGTTGGGACATTCAAAAAATAATACTTCCTCCGTTCTTAAATAAATGCAACAGTCAACATTTCACATTTGTCGAGACACAACTTTGACCATTAATATATATAATTTTATATTAGTAAAAAATTATAAAAAATAGATTTTGAAAATTTACATTGAGACAAATTTCACAATATTTTTTCATAAAAGTATATTAATACATTAATTAATAAAACTTAGTCAAAGTACAACATGTGAATAGTGTAAAATTCAACATGTTGCATTTATTTAAAAACGGAGGTAGTATGAAATGAATACCAAATTTAGGTGGCAACACCAAATTGAAACAGTTAGACGAGAGCAAAAATGCTACATCGTTTGTTTAAAATGCTATTAAAGGCCTCGTTTGTTTAATGATGGTCGGGGTGCAAAAATGCTACATCATGTAGCGTTTCCAATTATAAAATTGGAAAAATTGAAAGTAATAATCCCAACTATTGGCGGTCCGCTCATAATAATCCCAACTATCGATTATTCCAGAATAATCCCAACTTTAGGGACCTTCCGCCAATAATGGTCCATGTAAATAAATTTTTGTAGTTTTTATAGTGGATGAGATGAGATATAGCAAGTAATCCCTAAAAATAATCCCAACTTTTAATTTTTACGCTTAATTTCTATTTAAAATACACTTGTTATAGGAGGTAATATCTGGTCATGGACCATTATTGGCGGACAGTCTATATAGTTGGGATTATACAAAAATAATCAATAGTTGGGATTATTTTTAGCGGACTGGCAATAATTGAAATTATTATTTTCAATTTTTCCTATAAAATAATCAACGTTTTGAAGTGAAACGCCATCACCCAAACACCCTCAAAATGGACTGCAAATTTGTATTCAGATGTCTAGTATATAGTGCATCCTTCAAAGTTCAAATCGGAATGGATCTAATAAGATAGTAAGTCATCACCTGAAATCCTTTGTTGTTTAATGCTTTGGTTTGGAAATCAAAAATTCAAATCGGAATGGATCTAGTAAGATAATAAGTCATCACCTGAAATCCTTTGTTGTTTAATGCTTTGGTTTGGAAATCAAAAGTTCAAATCGGAATGGACCTAGTAAGATAGTAAGTCATCACCTGAAATCCTTTGTTGTTTAATGCTTTGGTTTGGAAATCAAAAGTTCAAATCGGAATGGACCTAGTAAGATAGTAAGTCATCACCTGAAATCCTTTGTTGTTTAATGCTTTGGTTTGGAAATCAAAAGTTCAAATCGGAATGGACCTAGTAAGATAGTAAGTCATCACCTGAAATCCTTTGTTGTTTAATGCTTTGGTTTGGAAATCAAAATATAATACTCCGTATAAAATAGGCGAAATTCGTAATCTCTACTTTTAGATTGGACGAATCATCAACCCTTCATCTTTTTTTTTTCATGTCATAATGTTCAACTTTGCTGCTGGAGATATTTTCGTATATATGTGTTGTGCTACTACTATTACTCCTGAGCCACCACCGAGGCGTTGGATGGTGGTGGGGAAGAAAACTTATCATGGTGATTTTATTATTGTCTGCTTTGGTTATCTTAATTTAGGTTGTTTTATTATGTTTGTTTTTTGTGTTTTCATTCCTTGTAAGACTCTTGCATTAAGGTTGGGGGAGGGAAAGTCTGTGGTAACCGTCATTGGCTTTAAATTGCCCAAATTTGGTCTAGCGAGTTATACTGCTTTTTTACAGGTGGTTAGCTCTCAGTCTCGACCACGGGCGGATGGTTATTTGTGGTTCTTTTCTAGTTTTACTCCCTTGCTGAATGCTATTTTTATGAATTAAGCCTTCTTCGAGCAAAAAAAAAAGTCTAGTTGGACGATCCATGTAAGCGATTCAACTAGAAACCGGTTGATTACCTATGAAAAATCCAATTTGGTGGGGTTTTAGGAGTTGGTGGACTTGATTGATTCATTTAAAAGTATATGGACTCAATTGACTTTTTGGTGATAGTAGATGGATTTATTTGACAGTTTTCCCATTATTTAATAGACGAAATTCATAAGAATAATCTATACTATGAGGGATTCTACAATATTTTTTTGGGATTTTACAATAATAATCCACACTGAGTGTGTTTAGTCATGGACCCGGGCCGGTTCCGGTTCCGGGCCGGGCCCGGCCAGGCTTTTTTTTTTGGGATGGAAGGCCCGGGACCGGCCCGGGTAGCCACCGGGTCCGGGCCGGGCCGGGCTGGGCCTCCGGTTCGGTCATGTTTTTTTTTTGCTTTCCTAACCCCCTACCCCCCCCCAAACCCCCAAACCCCTCCTAACCATCAAGCCCACCTCGGCTAACCCCAAAAAATGAAAAAAAAAAAAAAAAAAAAATCAATTCGGCCCGGGCCCGGGCCCGACCCAGCCGGGCCGGTTCGCCAAATACAAGGCCCGAGCCCGGACCCCCCCCCCCACCGGGCCTAGGCCCGACCCGGACCCGAGAACCGGGCCGGTTCCGGGCCCGCACGGTGGCGGGGCCGGGCGGCGCGAACCGGATCCATGTCTAAGTGTGTCTTTAAAAATCATCCAAATTAGCAATGGTGTCTACGAAAATAAATTGGGGTGGATTTAAACTAATCTATGTTTGGCACTCTCAACTCCTACCTCCACTTTCTCATTCACCAATCCTCATCTCGGATAACAATTCTATCATCTAAGCTAGAGAAAATCACATACGATGAAGTTGGTGTTGAAATTAAACGGGCGTCAAGTGAATTCACCTCGAGATGAAGAGCAGGGAAGGAGAAAGTGAGAGTAGTAGGGGTTGAGAGTAGTAAACAGTCATTAATTTGAACTCACTTTGTTCTTGTGAATACCATTGGTAGAAATTATTACATACAGAGTATTATTATTGCAAACCACTAAAAGTAGAGATTACGAATTTCGCCTATTTTATACGGAGTATTATATTTTGATTTCCAAACCAAAGCATTAAACAACAAAGGATTTCACGTGATGACTTACTATCTTACTAGGTCCATTCCGATTTGAACTTTTGATTTCCAAACCAAAGCATTAAACAACAAAGGATTTCAGGCGATGACTTACTATCTTACTAGGTCCATTCCGATTTGAACTTTTGATTTCCAAACCAAAGCATTAAACAACAAAGGATTTCAGGTGATGACTTACTATCTTACTAGGTCCATTCCGATTTGAACTTTTGATTTCCAAACCAAAGCATTAAACAACAAAGGATTTCAGGTGATGACTTATTATCTTACTAGATCCATTCCGATTTGAATTTTTGATTTCCAAACCAAAGCATTAAACAACAAAGGATTTCAGGTGATGACTTACTATCTTATTAGATCCATTCCGATTTGAACTTTGAAGGATGCACTATATACTAGACATCTGAATACAAATTTGCAATCCATTTTGAGGGTGTTTGGGTGATGGCGTTTCACTTCAAAACGTTGATTATTTTATAGGAAAAATTGAAAATAATAATCTCAATTATTGCCTCAATTATTGCCAGTTCGCTAAAAATAATCTCAACTATTGATTATTTTTGTATAATCCCAACTATATAGACTGTCCGCCAATAATGGTCCATGACCAGATATTACCTCCTATAACAAGTGTATTTTAAATAGAAATTAATCGTAAAAATTAAAAGTTGGGATTATTTTTAGGGATTACTTGCTATATCTCATCTCATCCACTTTAAAAACTACAAAAATTTATTTACATGGACCATTATTGGCGGTCCCTAAAGTTGGGATTATTCTGGAATAATCGATAGTTGGGATTATTATGAGCGGACCGCCAATAGTTGGGATTATTACTTTCAATTTTTCCAATTTTATAATTGGAAACGCTACATGATGTAGCATTTTTGCACCCCGACCATCATTAAACAAACGAGGCCTTTAATAGCATTTTAAACAAACGATGTAGCATTTTTGCTCTCGTCTAACTGTTTCAATTTGGTGTTGCCACCTAAATTTGGTATTCATTTCATACTACCTCCGTTTTTAAATAAATGCAACATGTTGAATTTTACACTATTCACATGTTGTACTTTGACTAAGTTTTATTAATTAATGTATTAATATACTTTTATGAAAAAATATTGTGAAATTTGTCTCAATGAACTTATTTGACACAAAAAACAAACATAATAAAACAACCTAAATTAAGATAACCAAAGCAGACAATAATAAAATCACCATGATAAGTTTTCTTCCCC